AGTGAAAACCTCCTTCCATCAGCAAGGGCATTGAAGATGAAAGGTGGCTGGGTCTTTCAGCATGACAATGATCCCAAACACACCGCCCGGGCAACGAAGGAGTGGCTTCGTAAGAAGCATTTCTAGGTCCTGGAGTGGCCTAGCCAGTCTCCAGATCTCAACCCCATAGAAAATCTTTGGAGGGAGTTGAAAGTCCGTGTTGCCCAGCGACAGCCCCAAAACATCACTGCTCTAGAGGAGATCTGCATGGAGGAATGGGCCAAAATACCAGCAACAGTGTGTGAAAACCTTGTGAAGACTTACAGAAAACGTTTGACCTGTGTCATTGCCAACAAAGGGTATATAACAAAGTATTGAGAAACTTTTGTTATTGACCAAATACTTATTTTCCACCATAATTTGCAGATAAATTCATTAAAAATCCTACAATGTGATTTTCTGGATTTTTTTCCTCATTTTGTCTGTCATAGTTGACATGTACCTATGATGAAAACTACAATCAATCAATCAATTTTATTTTATATAGCCCTTCTTACATCAGCTAATATCTCGAAGTGCTGTACAGAAACCCAGCCTAAAACCCCAAACAGCTAGTAATGCAGGTGTAGAAGCACGGTGGCTAGGAAAAACTCCCTAGAAAGGCCAAAACCTAGGAAGAAACCTAGAGAGGAACCAGGCTATGAGGGGTGGCCAGTCCTCTTCTGGCTGTGCCGGGTGAAGATTATAACAGAACCATGCCAAGATGTTCAAAAATGTTCATAAGTGACAAGCATGGTCAAATAATAATCAGGAATAAATCTCAGTTGGCTTTTCATAGCCGATCATTAAGAGTTGAAAACAGCAGGTCTGGGACAGGTAGGGGTTCCATAACCGCAGGCAGAACAGTTGAAACTGGAATAGCAGCAAGGCCAGGCGGACTGGGGACAGCAAGGAGTCACCACGGCCGGTAGTCCCGACGTATGGTCCTAGGGCTCAGGTCTCTCAGTTGGCTTTTCATAGCCGATCATTAAGAGTTGAAAACAGCAGGTCTGGGACAGGTAGGGGTTTCGTAACCGCAGGCAGAACAGTTGAAACTGGAATAGCAGCAAGGCCAGGCGGACTGGGGACAGCAAGGTGTCATCATGCCCGGTAGTCCTGACGTATGGTCCTAGGGCTCAGGTTCTCAGAGAGAAAGAGAGAACGAGAGAATTAGAGAGAGCATACTTAAATTCACACAGGACACTGGATAAGACAGGAGAAGTACTCCAGGTATAACCAACTAACCCCAGCCCCCCGACACATAAACTACTGCAGCATAAATACTGGAGGCTGAGACAGGAGCGGTCCGGAGACACTGTGGCCCCATCCGAAGGCCATACAGGCCTCTCTCATCTTTTTAAGTGGGAGAACTTGCACAATTGGTGGCTGACTAAATACTTTTTTCCCCCACTGTATGTATTAGGGCACATTCACAGGAATCATTTTCTCTAACTTTAAGTCACATGATTTCATTTAAAAAACAATCTGCAGTGAGGGTGTGTAATGTAAGTCAAGGTGTCCTTGGATGAATGTGATTAAGATGCATAACCGGCATTGTTAAAATAACTGTTTTAATGAAATCTGACCATACCAGTTCACACTCTAAAAGAAGACAATGTTCAAATGTAGTCCATGAAGAGGTATTAGGATTATGTGGACAGCTATTCTGCTGTAAAATTGCGGACTGCTGTAACAACACATTTGGTCAAAATTGAGTTAAGACCGAAATCTGGCTTTATAGTATCAATTTAATCTTGTGACAAAGTGTCCTGGTTCAATTTCTGAAAGGATATTTTCTCCAAACGATTTGAGGGAGTGCACACATTTGATTATTCTGTGTTGAGCGGTTAACAAAGAAACAGGTACAGTGCATTCGGAAAGTATTCAGACCCTTTGACGTTTTCCACATTTTGGTACGTTACAGCCTTATTCTAAAATGGATTCAATAGTTTTTTCCCCACATCAATCTACACACAATACCCCATAAAGCAATAACATTTTTTTGTGCATTTTTTTGCAAATGTATAAAAATAAACATAAATATTACATTTACATAAGTATTCAGACCTTTACTCAGTACTTTGTTGAAGCACCTTTGGCAGCGATTACAGCCTCGAGTCTTCTTGGCACACCTGTATTTGGGGAGTTTTTCCCATTCTTCTCTGCAGATCCTCTCAAGCTCTGTCAGGTTGGATGGGGAGCGTCGCTGCACAACTATGTTCTATCGGGTTCAAGTCCGAGCTCTGGCTGGGCCACTCAAGGATATTCAGAGACTTGTCCCAAAGCCACTCCTGCATTGTCTTGGCTGTGTGCTTAGGGTCGTTGTCCTGTTGGAAGGTGAACCTTTGCCCCAGTCTGAGGTCCTGAGCGCTCTGGAGCAGGTTTTAATCAAGGATCTCTCTGTACTTTGCTCTGTTCATCTTTCCCACGATCCTGACTAGTCTCCCAGTGGAAGCAATGTCAGCACAATAACTGTTTGTCGGGAGCTTCATGAAATGGGTTTCCATGGCCGAGCAGCCGCACAAAAATGCAATTTCTGAATGTGGGGGGACATGTCCCCAGTGAAAGTTGCGCCCCTGGGTAAAGATATGAGGTCCTGACCTGTCTCTCCTTTCTCCTCCTCAGTCTAACTTTACTTTGTTATCACTACCGCCCTCTACTGTCAGTTCCTGGAAAATGAGTGACCCCTCCTCTGACTACCACTATAATGTATGATGACATGTCTGGCTCAGCTCTCTCTATCATGTCTGGTTCAGCTCTCTCTATCATGTATGACTCAGCTCTCTCTATCATGTATGACCCAGCTCTCTCTATCATGTATGACTCAGCTCTCTCTATCATGTATGAACCAGCTCTATCTATTATGTCTGATTGAGTCCTTGTCTGAGTGTGGGTAAAGCTATGATGTCCTGACCTGTCTCTCCATCTCACCTTTCTCCTCCTCAGTCTAACTTTACTTTGGTGTCTCTACTGCCCTCTAGTGTCAGTTCCTGGAAAATGACCAGCGCATTGATACAGCATAATGGGTGAGCTAACTTACATACCCAGGGTCTATGTCCCATTTGGCACCCTATTCCCTACACAGTACACTACTTCTGACCAGAGCCCCATGGGACCATACTGTGGATATTTAATTATACCCATTATTATTAAAACTCACTACTGACCAGGGGCATTTTGTCATCCCTGGGAAGATTTAAATTCCATACTCCGTGCGTTTGCTCTCATCTCCTTCTCAAAATCCATTGGAGGAGAAGGTTAGTGGGGTGGGTCTTCTGGCTTTCTCATCCAATGGGTTTTGGCAAGGAGACAAGGAGAGAGGTATTGAGGAGTATGCAACTGAGATCCCTGTCTTTCCTTCAACTGAGGCTGTCCTCTGGTGGTAAGATGTATGTCAACTGTCCCATCAGATTATGACTCCATGCCACTATATATTTATCTAGTCTTCTTTTCATTTATGAGAACATCGTATAACATTTAACAAACAAACTGCAAGAAAATACAGTACAGTAATAAACAATAAAACCAACAAGAATCTCAAAGCAACTCAAACCAATGTCCTACTACTTCTAAAACAGTTAAAGAACATACATTATAAAACAATCACAATCTGATTAAAGGCCTCATATATATATATATATATATATACACACACTGAGTGTACAAAACATTAAGAACACCTTCCTAATATAGTGATACGCCCCCCCTATTTTACCCTCAATTCGTCAGGGCATGGGCTCTACAAGGTGTCAAAGTCGTTCCACAGGGATGCTGGCCCATGTTGACTACAATGCTTCAGACAGTTGTGTCAAGTTGGTGGACCATTCTTGATACACACAGGAAACGGTTGAGCGTGAAAAACCCAGCAGCGGTGCTGTTCTTGACACCATCAGTGCGCCTGGCACCTACTACCATACCCTGTTCAAAGGCACTTCAATCTTTTAACATGCCCATTCACCATCTGAAAGGCACCCATACACAATCCATGTCTCAGTTGTCTCAAGGCTTAAATATTATTCTTTAACCTGTCTCCTCCCCTTCATCTACACTGATTGAAGTGGATTTAACAAGTGACATCAATAAGGCATCATAGCTTTCACCTGGTCAGTCTATGTCATGGAAGGAGTGTTCATAATGTTTTGTAAACTCAGTGTATATACTTCATTTCATTAAAACAAAGACATTTAAAAAAGTACTGACTGTATTTGTCAACACAAGCTGTAGTGATATAAAACCCAAACTACATCGATCTGACAACCTGTAAAAAAAAAACATTTCAGCCTGAGCTAAGTACATGAAAGTGAGTAAATATACTTCATTCTAGAACTCCAGAGAAAGTAGAGAGATGTCAATAAGCTGTATTGTCACTTTGCCTAATGTTTGGCCCAGGCATGAGTTCAGAGAGTTTGTCTGATTGATAGAATGCAATCTAGAATGCAATAACCTGAGTTCCGGTCTGTTACTGCTCTCTTGTCAACTACTTTTTTTACATGACAATGAACGACAAGGGAAAGTTCTCAATTGCATACTCCTCGCGTCCTCTCTCCTCGTCTCCTTCTCAAAATCCATTGGAGGAGAAGGTCAGAGGGAAGAGAAGGAGACGAGGAGAGAGGATGCGAGGAGTATACGATTGAGAATGCAACTCTTCCAGTTTACATGTGAGGTTTAGAATGAGAATGTTTTTTGGCGGGAAATGATTATTATGGGTAAAAAATCCATGAACGTCTAAAACTAGATAGAAAGTATGTAGATATTATAATGGACCTATATATTTTAAAATAACTGCCCTTTTTCTGGCCCTTAAATAGATTTTGACAAAACAAATCAGTCCCCAAAAAATATGTTCGGCCCTCAAGCCAAATGGTTTGCCCATCCCTGCTTTAGAACACATTCTAGAGTTTAGAATGGATCTCTGTGACTGTAGAAGACATTCTAGAGTTTAGAATGGATCTCTGTGACTTTAGAAGACATTCTAGAGTTTAGAATGTATTTCTGTGAATGAGGTCCTGTTCCATCTGAGACTTGGCCTTCTTCTTCAGCAGCAGGATGTGTTCAGCAAACTCCCTCACAGCCCCCAGCCCTGCAGCATTGTGGCAGGAGTATTTAGCAGCGTTGATCGCCACCACTGGGGCGTCCCGGGGTACTGCACTCAGCCCAGCCAGGTTCAGACAGTCAACATCTGGTGCATCATTACCTGTAGGAGGGAGAGATGGAGGGATGAAATGGAGGGGTGAGATTCGTTTTTATTTTCTTTAAAATCTATTTAAGTGTTCATAAGGTGGTTCTGGAAGTATTCTAAGGATGATTAGTATGTTGCAAAAACATATATACTTGAATAGGTTTGGGCTTAGGGGAATCATAGAAATTGAATTACGGAAATCATAGAAATTGAATTAAATTGAAATTGAATCCCACATTCTGGAGGATTTAACTGCTGGCACCTCCCTTCTCACCTTAACCATAAATAGTCAGTGACTGGCAGTGGCATGCAAAATTAACTCAGAACAATCTGTCTCCCCTTACTAATAGAGGAGCTATTTAAATCAGGCAGTTTCCCCCTGTCTCCCCTTACTAATAGAGGAGCTATTTAATCAGACAGTTTCCCCCTGTCTCCCCTTACTAATAGAGGAGCTATTTAATCAGGCAGTTTCCCCCTGTCTCCCCTTACTAATAGAGGAGCTATTTAATCAGACAGTTTCCCCCTGTCTCCCCTTACTAATAAAGGAGCTATTTAATCAGGCAGTTTCCCCCTGTCTCCCCTTACTAATAGAGGAGCTATTTAATCAGGCAGTTTCCCCCTGTCTCCCCTTACTAATAAAGGAGCTATTTAATCAGGCAGTTTCCCCCTGTCTCCCCTTACTAATAGAGGAGCTATTTAATCAGGCAGTTTCCCCCTGTCTCCCCTTACTAATAAAGGAGCTATTTAATCAGACAGTTTTCCCCCTGTCTTCCCTTACTAATAGAGGAGCTATTTAATCAGGCAGTTTCCCCCTGTCTCCCCTTACTAATAAAGGAGCTATTTAAATCAGACAATTTCCCCCTGTCTCCCCTTACTAATAGAGGAGCTATTTAATCAGACAGTTTCCCCCTGTCTCCCCTTACTAATAGAGGAGCTATTTAATCAGGCAGTTTCCCCCTGTCTCCCCTTACTAATAGAGGAGCTATTTAATCAGGCAGTTTCCCCCTGTCTCCCCTTACTAATAGAGGAGCTATTTAATCAGACAGTTTCCCCCTGTCTCCCCTTACTAATAAAGGAGCTATTTAATCAGACAGACAGTTTCCCCCTGTCTCCCCTTACTAATAGAGGAGCTATTTAATCAGACAATTTCCCCCTGTCTCCCCTTACTAATAGAGGAGCTATTTAATCAGGCAGTTTCCCCCTGTCTCCCCTTACTAATAGAGGAGCTATTTAATCAGGCAGTTTCCCCCTGTCTCCCCTTACTAATAGAGGAGCTATTTAATCAGGCAGTTTCCCCCTGTCTCCCCTTACTAATAGAGGAGCTATTTAATCAGGCAAGTTATTTCATCAGTGAATAACTTACAATCACTTCCTGGCAAGAAATAACAGAGGGATGAGAGGAGATAGATGGAGGGGTGGTTGGAGAGAGAGATGAAGGGGTGAGAAGAGAGAGAAATGGTGATATCTAGCTTATTCTAACTTTCCATCTCAGAAGGGGTTCAAATAAAGATCTTCATACGTTTTGATTGACATGAATGCACTCAAAATAGATTCTAAGGTTAAGAACCTTCAGATTCCATTATATTTCAAACTGTGCTATATAAATAAAATGCTTTAGTAATAATAGTAATAGTAGCAGTAATTATTATTATTATTATTATTAGTAATAGTAGTTAGTAATAGTAGTAGTAGTAATAGTAGTAGTAATAGTAGTAGTAGTAGTAGTAGTGTCACGCCCTGGCTCTGGGGACACTTGTATGTTGAGCCAGGGTGTGAGTTTCCTTTGTGTATTCTAGTTGTTGTATTTCTATGTTGGCCAGAGTGGTTCTCAATCAGAGGCAACGAGTGTCAGCTGTTGCTGGTTGTCTCTGATTGGGAACCATATTTAGACAGGCTGTTTTCCCACAGTGGTTGTGGGATCTTGTTCCTGTATAGGTTTGTGTTTTGCACCTTTGGGCGTCACGTTATCGTTTGTTGTTTTTGTTCGTGTTATCATTCAAATTAATAAAATATGTTCACCTTCCACGCTGCGCCTTGGTCCTCTGTACCCGACGATCGTGACAAGTAGTTAGTAGTCAGTAGTAAATTGTTAAATGAAAAGAATAGTGAGTTTACCCATATAGGCGACCTCCTTCCAGTCCAGATCCCTGTCGTCAATCATGGCTTTGACCTCACCTTGGATGTCCTTGCCCAGCTGCCTGACCTCGCAGCCTGTCCTCTGGGACAGCTTGTCAGCCAGGGCCTTGGTCTGGGGGTCCTCACTGGAGGAGATCAAGATCACCTGGAGGAGAGACAAAATACAGTTTTCATACTGAGACGGCCTGGTTACGCATCCACCATAGTTTCTGGAACCGACAGTGGGAGAAGAAAATAGCCTAGCCAGCACAGTACGGTTCGGGTCAATAATGTGAATAAGGATGTCATTTGAGATGTGTCCTTAGAGGGTATGAGGAAACTCAAACAAATAATGTCATATGACAGTTAAAGTAAATAGTAGCCTATGTGTGTGTGTTTAATGGGCGGTGGTTTCAGTGATAAGGTACGGCCTAAATCTAAATATACCAGGAGCAGACGGTGTGAAACATCCTGTTCTGTTAAGAGCTTAGCCAAGCAAACCTAACTGGTTTTACCTAACTTCATGTATCCTTAATACTGCCACAAAGCCAAAACAAGGGAAGCCAGGTAGCCTAGCAGCTAAGAGCGTTGAGCCAGTAACCAAAAGGTCGCTGGTCCGAATCCCCGAGCGGACTAGGTGAAAAATCTGTCAATGTGCCCTTGACCAAGGCACTTAACCCTAATTGCTCCTGTAAATCGCTCTGGCTAAATGACAAATGTAAAATGATTGGATTAATGCTTTTCTTTTGAGATTTTATAGTAGCTTAATGCTGCTTCAAGTTGAACATGTTATGTGAGGTTAACTGTCACTGCCCAGAAAGAATGGTGTGTCAGCTATGACATGACACCCTGAGTTTGATTTTTTATTTGATTTTGGTTATTAAACTGCAGTTGGTGGAGTGGATTTACAGTGCATTCGGAAAGTATTCAGACCCCTTCCCTTTTTCCACATTTTGTTACGTTGCAGCCTTATTCTAAAATTGATTAAATTAAACATTTTCCTCATCAATCTACACACAATACCCCATAATGACAAAACAAAAAAAGGTTTTTCAAAATTTTAGCAAATGTATTACAAATAAAAAAGAGACCTTATTTATGTAAGTATTCAGACCCTTTGCTATGAGACTCAAATTGAGCTCAGGTGCATCCTGTTTCCATTGATCATCCTTGAGATGTTTCTACAACTTGATTGGAGTCCACCTGTGGTCAATTCAATTGATTGGACATGATTTGGAAAGAGACACACCTGTCTATATAAGGTCCCACAGTTGACAGTGCATGTCAAAAACCAAGCCATGAGGTCAAAGGAATTGTCCGTAGAGCTCCCGAGACAGGATTGTGTCGAGGTACAGATCTGGGCAGGGTGCCAAAAAATGTCTGCAGCATTGAAGGTCCCCAGGAACATAGTGGCCTCCATCATTGTTAAATGGAAGAAGTTTGGAACCACCAAGACTCTTCCTAGAGCTGTCCGCCCGGCCAAACTGAGCAATCTGGGTAGAAGGGCCTTGGTCAGGGAGGTGACCAAGAACCAGATGGTTATTCTGACAGAGCTCCGAAGTTCTTCTGTGGAGATGGGAGAACCTTCCAGAAGGACAACCATCTCTGCAGCACTCCACCAATCAGGCCTTTATTGTAGAGTGGCCAGACGGAAGACACTCTTCAGTAAAAGGCACATGACAGCCAACTTGGAGTTTTCCAAAAGGCACCTAAAGGACTCTCAGACCATGAGAAACAAGATTCTCTGGTCTGATGAAACCAAGATTGAACTCTTTGGCCTGAATGCCAAGCGTCACGTCTGGAGGAAACCTGGCACCATCCCTACAGTGAAGCATGGTGGTGGCAGCATCATGCTGTGGGGATGTTTTTCAATGACAGGGAGATTAGTCAGGATGGAGGGATATATGAACGGAGCAAAGTGCAGAGAGATCCTTGATGAAAACCTGCTCCAGAGCGCTCAGAACTTCAGACTGGGGCGAATGTTCACCTTCCAACAGGACAACGGCCCTAAGCACACAGCCAAGACAATGCAGGAGTGGCTTCGGGACAAGTCTCTGAATGTCCTTGAGTGGCCCAGCCAGAGCCCGGACTTCAACCCAATCTAACATCTCTGGAGAGACCTGAAGATAGCTGTGCAGCGACGCTCCCCATCCAACCTGACAGAGCTTGAGAGGATCTGCAGAGATGAATGGGAGAAACTCCCCAAATACAGGTGTGCCAAGCTTGTTGTGTCATACCCAAGAAGACTCAAGGCTGTAATCGCTGCCAAAGGTGCTTCAACAAAGTACTGAGTACATGGTCTGAATACTTATGTAAATGTAATATTTATGTTTTTATTTTGTATATATCTGCTAAAAATTCTAAAAACCTGTTTTTGCTTTGTCATTATGGGGTACTGAGTGTAGATTGAAGGGAAATCAACTATTTAATCCATTTTAGAATAAGTCTAACCTAACAAAATGTGGAAAAAGTCAAGGGGTCTGAATACAATGTACATGACTAGGCTGCTTAACCAGAATCATAGATGACTAGGCTGCTTAACCAGTGAGCTAGGGACTACCACTTCTGTCTTACCCTTAGAACTGACGATTTTCCAAAATATATTTATTTTGAAGTTGTCGTTTTTTATTGTGCTGATGATTTTCTTGTGCATAGTGTATTTATGTGAATTGTGTCATACTTCAGCATCGGTTGCCATTGATACTTTGTAATGTCGAATTTGTGAAATAAACCATTGAAATGTTCTGTATTGTACCTCCACCCCCTCTCTCTGCAGCATGCGGATACCCATGGTATCTCTGGTGTTGACTGAGACCATCTCCTCTCCAGAGACAGAGATGAGGACGCGGCCGTCAGTCAGACAGCCTGAGATGTTACACAGCAGCAGGCGCACCACCTCAGGCTTGTCCAGGCCAAAGTAACCAAACCTGGAGAGGAACAACACAACACACAGGGAAATACATTTGGAGAATCACTCCTCTGTGTTACAGCATTGTGTTGCTTTACCACTAAATCGAATTTAAAGTGCATTCAAATAGCATTCAAGTAAACATTTTTAGAGAGAGAACTTGAAGCTCTAGGTCAGTGATTTCAGACTACCTCAGTACTCTCTGTTCTGCCACGGGCCAGTCGATATCAACATCAATATCCACACTGTACTCTGGCAGCATCTCATAGTAAGCCCACTTTCCCCCCTGTGAAAGACAACACAAGAGAAAGGGCATTTCTATTAGCATTCAAATCAACACCAGTTGACAACAGAATATCTAGTAGTATCACAGATCAGTCCATCTCTCAGTGTGTATTTTGTTTCTAGACAAGCTCACGTCCTCTGAATGAATAAACTTTATTGATCCCCTGAGGGAAATAGGGTTCACCACGAGCATCAGACAAACACATCAGGGCCTGTGTCTCAGAGTAGGAGTTCTGATCTAGGATCAGGTCCTCCATGTCCATATAGACGTATTCATAATGATTGAAAAGGGAAAACTGATCCTAGACCAACACTCCTATCCTGAAACGCTTTGTGAATATGGGCCCTGATGGGGTATAGTGTCAGTTACCTGCAGGCCTTTCTCTATCGTTACTCTGGTATAAATGTAGAAAGATCCGTTCTCACACAGCTCTCCATCCCAGTCCTGTCTCCGGGGCCTGTTAGACGGGTCTAGGTTCAGAGGCTGGGTGGCTACACTACCTGAAGAGGAGAGAGAACACATAATAAATGTTATAGGTTAGAACTAGAAACCAGACTACTATAATTCATTATCATTGAGCAATAGCTTCTTACAAAAAGATATGATGGGTAGGTATTTTCAAACACAAAATATCTAGGGCACTAGAGTTTTTCCTGGCTCTGGTCTCGTAGTCAGGAAAAACTCCTGACCCTACTTATTAAATGAGGGACAGTTTTTCCTCAGGCACAGTGTAGTGGAAAATGTTATATGTGGACACATTGTGTTCTTTCTCAAGTTTTGCATGTTCTGTAAACTGTCTGACAATGAGAATTGTTGTTTTCTGTTATTAAGTTGCGATATGCTTGTGGTTCGTTCACAGGGTGCCGGTCAAGCAGAAGAGGAACTAGATACAAGATAATAGCCTCACTCGTTCTCCCACCCTGATACTAATTCCTTGTATCTGTGTCTGCTTAGTCATGCTTAGGAAACTTGTTTGTGCAGCGGTATAAAGGACAACTGTAGGGACTGACCCTTCAGAGCTCCTGACAGACCTGTACATTGTACATTAGGTTTGTTGGAACCTCTCCAGTTAACTGATAATACAGTGGCTTGCGAAAGTATTCAACCCCCTTGGCATTTTTCCTATTTTGTTGCCTTACAACCTGGAATTAAAATGGCAAATCCCGAGACATTTAAATGTTTCCCCTTAAACCACTCAAGTGTTGCTTTAGCAGTATGCTTAGGGTCATTGTCCTGCTGGAAGGTGAACCTCCGTCCCAGTCTCAAATCTCTTGAAGACTGAAACAGGTTTCCCTCAAGTATTTCCCTGTATTTAGCGCCATCCATCATTCCTTCAATTCTGACCAGTTTCCCTGTCCATGCCGATGAAAAACATCCCTACAGCATGATGATGCCACCACCATGCTTCACTGTGGGGATGGTGTTCTCGGGGTGATGAGAGGTGTTGGGTTTGCGCCAGACATAGCATTTTCCTTGATGGCCAAAAAGCTCAATTTTAGTCTCATCTGACCAGAGTACCTTCTTCCATATGTTTGGGGAGTCTCCCACATGCCTTTTGGCGAACACCAAACTTTTTTTATTTAAGCAATGGCTTTTTTCTGGCCACTATTCCGTAAAAGCCCAGCTCTGTGGAGTGTACGGCTTAAAGTGGTCCTATGGACAGATACTCCAATCTCCACTGTGTTGCTTTGCAGCTCCTTCAGGGTTATCTTTGGTCTCTTTGTTGCCTCTCTGATTAATGCCCTCCTTGCCTGGTCCATGAGTTTTGGTGGGCGGCCCTCTCTTGGCAGGTTTGTTGTGGTGCCATATTCTTTCCATTTTTTAATAATGGATTTAAAATGGTGCTCCGTGGGATGTTCAAAGTTTCGGATAGAACAGGTGTATATATACTGAGATCATGTGACAGATCATGTGACACTTAGATTGCACACAGGTGGACTTTATTTAACTAATTATGTGACTTCTGAAAGTAATTGGTTGCACCAGATCTTATTTAGGGGAACTTTTCAGTTATTTATTTTGTATAATTTATTGAAACAAGTTATTTTTTTCATTTCACTTCACCAATTTCGACTATTTTGTCCATTACATGAAATCCAAATAAAAATCCATTTAAATTACAGGTTGTAATGCAACAAAATAGGAAAAACGCCAAGGGGGATGAATACTTTTGCAAGGCACTGTATGTGTAAGGCCCTAAGCACAACACAAGGCTATCCCGTACCTCCTTTCTTGACCTCCTGCCAGCGGAAGTGGTGTTGTCGGGCCACGGCGAAGACGGACGTGAAGCCCTGATTGGTGATCATCTCCAGGGCCTCCTTCAGGTGGAAGGGGTGCAGGCAGGGAGACGTGGCCTGGATGTGACAGATCACATCCACCTCTGGAGGAGGACAACACAACACAACAGATATTTGAATTATCCATTATTTAAATCAGGTAGTCACATATGATGACATATGAATAAATCTATAAGGTTCTGTTGACATCTGTAGCTATGGAGTAGGTCCCACTTTATTTGGATAGCCCCCTATTCATGGTTCGTCTACAGCCGCTCTCACACTATCAACAAACTATCACCTGAAACTCTGTTTATACTTGACGTGCTTCTATATCTGCATCGCTTGCTCTTTGGGGTTTTAGGCTGGGTTTCTGTATAGCACTTTGTGACATCTGCTAATGTAAAAAGGGCTTTATAAATAAATGTGATTGATTGATTGATTGATATGCATCAATTTACTAAGGGTTGGGATTAGGGTTATGGTATTAGAAATTGAATTAAAAGAAAACAACATGTGAGCATTATCATGTGATCATGTGATCAAGATCAGGGGTGTACAACTCAGGGTCTCCAGATCCACACTCCTGCTGGTTTTGATTCTACCTCCTAGACAATAACTATCACTGATTGGCTGGAGAGTGGTGAGTCAGACCACACAACTGGTTTCCCAGCCAGGTGTTCTCAGGCTCTGATTAAAAGGCAGGAAGGGAAATCGGCAGCAGGCACTGCGGCCCTGGAGGTCGTATGAATCAAGTGTCTCGGAGTTGGAGTGCTGATTTAGGATCAGTTTTGCCTCATAGATCACAATGAATAAGACTACATGGACAGGGGGGACCTGATCCTAGATCAGTATTCCCTACTCTGAGATGCTTGATACATACCGCCCCAGAGCCTTAGTCTAGCTAGTGGATAAACATGTTCTGCATATATTCCATTAACGGCTGACATCTATAACAAAGCGCTGCCAAACAGTCATTACAAAAGAGGGTGTGGTTCTGTCACAATAAACTATAACCAACGTTGACACTTCCCTGTTGCTATGTCATAGAGTGAATCTCAATTGTATTTCCTTGATTCCTCACGGCTCCCTCCTTGTCTCCTTGTCTCCTTGTCACAGCACAATGGAGCAGAATATCAGATTCCTCCACTCAGATATCCTCCACTAATGCATTTTGAGAAGGAGGCAAGGAGAGAGGACATGAGGAATCAAGGAAATACAATTGAGATTCACCCCTCCTACCTGGGTTTAATCTGGCGAATTCCTGGATGGTGTCGAGAGAGCTGGATGAGTCTTTGGACACCTCTGGGCTCCTGCGGTGAACCTGAGCTCCCCATGCCTTGGCCACCTTCTCAATGTCATCATGGTCAGTTGATACCCACACACTGGGAGAAAGAACAGAAGAAGTTGATTCCTCAGGCTTTGTAACAAGTAGGCTACATCAGTGAAATCAGTCTTGTGTGGCCAAGCCCAAGCCAGGGGGTTCATTCAGAGACAGTACACTAACTTTCAAACATCCTCGCTCTTGACAAACTCTCTCAATAAGAATCTGACATTGGTTTATATATTTACACAACAACAGTTAATAATATATTTAATTTCTTCCCGGTATGGAACGTCCTATGTGTGCACGTGCGTGTACAAAAACAATGTATGGGCCTAACAGGACCAGCTCTGGACGTTCTGCTGCCCAAGGCAAGTAAATAAAACAAATTGCCACCCCCCCCCTAAACTAGAATAGTGTACTGCAGGGGTTGGCAATCGGTTTGGCCTTGGGACAGTTTTTTTCTCAGCTAATAGTCGGTAGAACAGAACATAATAGCAGACCAATTCATAGGCCTATGCTACAAATTATTTTCTTTTTTTTAACACATCTGGTTGCTAGGCTATATAAATCAGTACAATGTCAATAACATATCCTCATATTTTCAATCTGATTACACTGATAAAATCACCAATGTCTTTTTTTATTTTTTTTATTTTTTATTTGTGCGTTGATTGGGAAAAAACAGCTTGCAATCAAGACAAAATGTCACTCTGAAAAAGTTTCAAAAGAAAGGTGGATAATGAAAATAGAAGTTTCAGGGAAGAATGGACAGAGAAATGGGTATTCTTACCATATTTCTCCAATGTCAAACCAGAGTGTCTTGTTTGCAACGAAGGCGGTTACTGTTTGCAACTAATTAAATATTAGACATCCCTATGAATCTAAGCATGGCACTTTCAAAAGTTACCTTTCCATCCAGACAGAGGCTAGACCGAAGTAGAAAAATGTAAGCTTCAACTGCTGGCTACTCATCTGTTGCTTAACTCAACAACAGAATTGCTTCCCTAAAAGCTGCCTGGGTTTAAACATCTTCTCTTTTCAGAAAGTGAAAAGATCAATTAATAGAGACAGAACAGCAAAGTCCATTTTTGTCTCCTCCAATATTGAAGGCCGCAGCTCAGCTTCAGAATGTCATAGAGACTATTCAATATATCCCCCTATGCATCAGTCATGTCTTTTGAGGTAATTTTAAAACTTGTTTCTAGCATAAGGCATCACGGAGTTAAGCATTGCTATAGAACGCTTTATATTATCTGAATACTTTGTATTTATTTATTACAGATATAAAGCAAACTTTTTCCCCTTTTCTTTACAAAGGGTACGGCATACCCTCACTTATTGTGAGCCCTGGTTTTAACCAAACCCACCAAGCCCTTCCCAGACACAGAGGTATTTAAGGAGTGCATGGTGACAGTATTGGGGGATTTGGCTGTACTGATAAATCTATGGATAGCATAACTGAGTCTGTCAAACAGGTAGGCCTACCTCTTGTTTTTTTAAAATAGGAAAATAGTCTCCAACAAAGCCCTCTTGTTGTTAGTGAAGTCAAATTAAAATGAAGACAATTGTTGAAATGAATTACTTTCAGCTTCATTTGCTGTCCACCACTGTTTGATCAGCTCCAAAGCTGATGTCTGCCCGCTTGCCTTTTTAGTTGACTTTCTCCTGAACTCTCTCTCCTCATGAATAAGTTAATGATTTAAAAAGTGTCTGTCTCATGACATTGTAATACATTTGGTCTCCAGTGTATGGGCTACACATAGGCTACTACTCTTTCTACTGTAGGCTACATCATTTATGTTAAATTCATTTGATGGAGCGCTGGCAGAGGGCGGCAGCACTGCATCTCTCTAACAGCACTATGGTGAGGCGCGCTAGGCATGGAAAGCTAAATATTTCTTGCGCCCCTGCCTTTGGCAAAGTGGGCACTACTTATCATGGGGCGGCATCAGCGCTCACCTAAATAACCCTCATGCCACTGGGTGAGAGAAGTTGTAATTATTGTTAGGCAGAATAATGTGAGATGTTATGTGTTGTTGGAGGTGCGTCATGGTCAGTTTAGCTCAGAAAATGTCGCCCTCGTCAAACTGCCTCTATAGGTGGCTGCCTAATCCTGGCTAATGGTGGTGCCGGCCGTGAGGTCTAATCATAGAATTATATTTAGAATCCCTATTATTTTATAGAATCGTTGTGGGCCTAGACATAAAGATGTGTCATTTGACTTTTAAAATGTATTACCATTTATTGTGGCATAAACACAACCAGTCATGATATTTTCATCTGATTGCCCAACAATCATATTCAAAGGGCTCCTCTACAAGGCTACCTACACACGTTCATCCACTCACAACATATTTCCAACTTCCAAACAGTTGTGATGGAAATGTTCTTGTGTGTATGTGATCATATGTTTAGCACAATGCTGCTTTGTAATAACCTGTCTTGGTTGGGTTCATGTGAGTGACCGATTGACTACACACAGGAGTAAACCCCTATCACTCACAAGCAACTTGGCAGTATACCCAGAACATTGCTCTGGGAACTAGAAGGAGTGATACAATATCTCAGTTTCAAGGTAAGAAGCCTGGTGTGGTATCAGTCAGTCACAATGCAGGAAGCAACCATGCTTATAAATCAAATCAAATCAAATTTTATTGGTCACATGCGCCGAATACAACAGGTGCAGACATTACAGTGAAATGCTTACTTACAGCCCTTAACCAACAGTGCATTTATTTTAAACAAAAAAAGTAAGAATAAAACAACAACAAAAAAAGTGTTGAGAAAAAAAGAGCAGAAGTAAAATAAAGTGACAGTAGGGAGGCTATATATACAGGGGGGTACCGTTGCAGAGTCAATGTGCGGGGGCACCGGCTAGTTGAGGTAGTTGAAGTAATATGTACATGTGGGTAGAGTTAAAGTGACTATGCATAAATACTTAACAGAGTAGCAGCAGCGTAAAAAGGATGGGGTGGGGGGGGGCAGTGCAAATAGTCCGGGTCTTATGGCTTGGGGGTAGAAGCTGTTGAGAAGTCTTTTGGACCTAGACTTGGCACTCCGGTACCGCTTGCCGTGCGGTAGCAGAGAGAACAGTCTATGACTAGGGTGGCTGGAGTCTTTGACAATTTTGAGGGCCTTCCTCTGACACCGCCTGGTATAGAGGTCCTGGATGGCAGGAAGCTTTGCCCCAGTGATGTACTGGGCCGTACGCACTACCCTCTGTAGTGCCTTGCGGTCAGAGGCCAAGCAGTTGCCATACCAGGCGGTGATGCAACCAGTCAGGATGCTCTCGATGGTGCAGCTGTAGAATTTTTTGAGGATCTGAGGACCCATGCCAAATCTTTTTAGTCTCCTGAGGGGGAATAGGCTTTGTCGTGCCCTCTTCACGACTGTCTTGGTGTGTTTGGACCATGATAGTTCGTTGGTGATGTGGACACCAAGGAACTTGAAGCTCTCAACCTGTTCCACTACAGCCCCGTCGATGAGAATGGGGGCGTGCTCAGTCCTCTTTTTTTTCCTGTAGTCCACAATCATCTCCTTTGTCTTGGTCACGTTGAGGGAGAGGTTGTTGTCCTGGCACCACACGGCCAGATCTCTGACCTCCTCCCTATAGGCTGTCTCATCGTTGTCGGTGATCAGGCCTACCACTGTTGTGTCGTCGGCAAACTTAATGATGGTGTTGGAGTCGTGCCTGGCCATGCAGTCATGGGTGAACAGAGAGTACAGGAGGGGACTGAGCACGCACCCCTGAGGGGCCCCCGTGTTGAGGATCAGTGTGGCAGATGTGTTGTTACCTACCCTTACCACCTGGGGGCGGCCCGTCAGGAAGTCCAGGATCCAGTTGCAGAGGGAGGTGTTTAGTCCCAGGATCCTTAGCTTAGTGATGAGCTTAGAGGGCACTATGGTGTATGACTTGTTTGTGTAGCAGTATAACCGGACTGACAGGGAACGCCCCTTTTCAGAGTTTCATCAGGCTTGTATTGAGTTTGTGAACCTCTCCAGACGTGAAAATAAAGATTGCTTCACTTACTTTGAGTTTGAGTCCTTAGTGTTGAATTTCTACGACATAGTGGTGAATGGAAAGAGAGACATCTGTTACACAAAGCACCAAAAAGTGTAATGACATTTGGCGATTGTCTGTAGGGTAGAATTAATTGCTCCATTGCTGTCCGCGCTCGTCTTGGTGTCCGCCACTCATCTCTGTCTTGACAAAATGTCAGTGTTCTTCTCGAACCATTTTGGAGCATTTTGGAGTGTCGGCTATAACACCCGTTTTCAGGTCCATTCACTCATTTTTCATGCCTCTTAACGTACGGTAATGATAAATAATGGTGTAATAGCCTACAGTTTTCTTGACATTTTAATTCATTATTGTGAAGGCTCATGCTTATACGTA